TCGCTATGTTTCAGCGCGAAATATGCAGAAATCTGTTCAAAATATTTAAAGTACGTACATCATGGACGTAGAATGATAGATAATTTGGGGTGGCTGTAATACATATATATTCTTTATGTATAAAAATAAAAGATTCTCCGGATTGTATAAAATGATTTTCATTGATTTTTATTTTTATACATAAAATATGCCCGGATTACCAATCTTTAAACTTTCATATATTCTTATATTTTTGTTATAATCCAGAGAAAGCATTTAATTTCAAGAAATTTAACACGGAACATCATGCATATATCAAAATTTCCTTCTTCCCAGTTATCAACCGTCTTATATCCTAGGCGTGTACCCGCTGTCTAGAGCTGTGCTTTTCTATTTTTTTTTACATGAATTCAGTGTTTGTCCTGGATTTTGAAAAACTTCTGTTTATGTTGCTCTCATGTTACCATCTATGGCACTCACAAATCTGTGATCTCCTCCAAAAACAATGTGGTTTTGTCTCCAACCAGTTTTATAGTAGCTATTGTTAAAAACATTATAAATATTGTTGAACATAAATAAGAATAGGAAATGGCCAAAATTGTTTTTCCACAGTGGTGCTCTCTTGTCTTTAACTAGAGTAATTTAATCACAAGGTTAAATAGTTGTTTGTAGTTGTTGGTTATAGCGCTGTGCTATCATTCTTTTTGTTTAGTAATTTAATTCGTAAAACGTTAGTGGCGCTGAAGACTGAAGGCGTTGGTCATGTACAACTATCATTATGTTCAAAAGTTCAAAATGATAAAAAAAAGTCCTGGCTTAAACGTTCAACAATATTATCCACATTTTTTTAACAAAAATTTTGTTTTTCAAATCCAACGTTCTGTTTCTTTCTTAGAAAAAATATTTCCTCAAAATATGGCATTTTTAGCCTTTCATCCTTAAAGTGCATAGAAACTGTTCAATTGCTTTTAATAAAGGATCCTCAAAAACTGTAATGGACTTTATTTTTAACATCAATAACTGCAGGCTTAGTTTTATCCATATTGAACTTATTGTCTAATGTAAATTAGGGAGCTTTTAATCATTCGTTTCTTAACTGACAAATACGTACAATTTTTGTCAGTAATATGCATCAAAGCCCTGTTTTTGGAGAGTTGAGAAACCAAAAGTAAAAGTGGTTCACAAACTGAAAATCCTGTACGATGTCTAATCTTTATGAATAAAATTTAGACTCAACGGTATCGTGGAGTTTTCTACTTAAGTAAGAAAATTTTTTTAAGTTGCTAAAGAAGCAAGTTTCGATAGATCAAATAATATTATCAATCAAAACTGCAACATTGTTGTAAAAAATTTATATTCGAGAAGCACGTTACTTAAAGTTCAAAAACTCTAAACTTGTTTCCAGATTTGATCTGTCGCTTTTTTCTCTTGTTTAAAAAATCTTTGTATATGACATGGGATTTCGAACTTCAAAAAACCTAACAGTACCAACCACACATTAAACTTTATCTAAAAAGCATAACAGATGTTTTCAGTTCGATGAGAATATTTCGAAATTGTTAAACTTGTAGCGCCTGGAAGAAATTTGTTGTTTGGTAACTTCAATGCTGCAAACATTGAAAATTGAATCTCACCGTAATCATTCTTTGTTTCATCATCTAATTCTTCCAATCAACGAGCAGCGTTGACTTCTACATCTTCCATACCAACAATGATTCTAAGAATTTTATTTTTCATTTTGGGGGTCTGGGGAGGGAGTTGCTAAAACAAATTTGTGCAAATCGTCTAAATTTTTGCCAGACGGCATTATATCTCCAAAGCTCAACATCTTCTTATATGTGGTTTCTATATTCCTTCTCAAGATTTAAAAAATTAGAAAAAGGATGAAAAGGACCACATTATTTTCCAAGAATTTATGTTAAGCCAAAAATAACAGATTTGACATTAATAGTCTTGCTAATACTAGGACGACCAATGCAAATGATCGTTAAAATTAAAAACGGGTTGCAAGATCAAAAAGGAATGTCCACATGATGCAACTGTATGTGTTATACCGATTGCCACATATTTATTTCAAACAGCCTTGCTCTCTAGGCGAAAAAAATTATCTGGATTGGTTAATAATGCCAATTTCGCTATTCAGAAACATTATTGTAACAATAAGTTGACTAAGTTATTACGAATGCTTTTAGTGAAACACTTTAATCATGTTTTTCAATTTCTCCACATTATAAGCACAACATATAAAACAGTATCTGTAAAACTTCCATTCACTGTCCTCCTAACTGTCATGAGAAGCAAACGTCGAAGCGAATAACGGAATCGCGTGTCTTATCTAAGTAGCTCTAGCTGGAAGCCCACGCACTTAGAAAGTAAACTTGAAGAAATAAGACTTCTTTTTGATAATTTCTCCATAATAGCATCTGGCGTGAGAAAATGATTGTTCACGGACTAAGTATTTCAGAAAGCGCATGGATAAAGTTCTTGTTTCTTTAGTATGGTACGTCATAACCGTATCATATTACTTTCTTTGGGTTAACATCTTACCAATATTATTCTATTTCAGTGGTCGCTGGAATTCTCAGGAAGAAACTAATGGACAAAATAAATGGACCTTTCACCTTTTAAGCATGGTAACAAGCCCGGTAATGCGTGATTTGCTTCGACATTTGCTGCTCATGGCGGTTAGGAGGACCGTGAGTGGAACGTTTACAGATACTTTTTATATTAAAATTGAAAAACAAAATTAAGGTCTCTCAATAAAAACAATACTCGCAATAAGCTTAGTCAACTTATTATTACTATTATACATCTGGATTGGTCATATAGTGGAAGATATGTATTCTGAAGGAGAAGCAAAGTTTCTCATTTGTTGGCACTGAAATTGAAATACATGGGTGGGAAAATGAGACTAGAACCAGTTGTATAAAAACATGGAAGCCATGAAGAAATTTTTGCGTAAAAACTTATATTTTAAAATAATTTTCCTATTCACTCCTTCCTGATTTCCTAAGGCTTTTTAATGTGTTTATAAAATACAACCAGTGAAAACAAGCACAATTATAAAATCATAACGGTGTCAATTAAAAGGAATGCTTTAACGTTTTATGGAATACACATGCATATTACATTCATTAGAAGAAAATCTGCGCTAAAGAACATTTGCTATTTTTAAATGACAATTTTATTCAAAAATAACACAGAGACAGCATTCATCCAGAGGACCGTCTGGCCTGTGAATGTTTTCGAGCTTATTACAATTATCTAGAACGATTAAATTGTCGTAATGATATAAGAAAATGTTGGCTTTGTAGTTGGGCCAAACGATTGACTGCTAGTTGTATCTTGGTTAAGTTTGCTGACAATGAATTTTGAGTTAAATTTTTTTAAATATTGGCAGATGTCGTGTGTATGAGATTCTACCAGTTCTACTGAGTAAACTGACAACATCTCGAACTTTCTGAATAAGTACAAGAATAAAGGATATAATGCTGTTGTTGGTTAAGAATTTTCAAATAATTTCAGCCAAGGTCTTCACAAAAGATTGTGAACTTCTCACAACAATTCTGAACTAAATACATTATTATTCTTAGAAAATACAATCAAAGTGAATTGGTTTCTCTGACATATCATTAAACTACATGCATGAAAGCAAAGTTATTTTCATAAAAGTGTGTCAATCAGGTTCTTATAAATAGTATTGTGCATTACATTCAACATATTTGCACTGTTTGATTGTTGGGAACAAATTAAAAGGGGGTAAAAGAACACAAAATCAAAATCAACAAAAAATCTTTGAATGTAGGCGAACAAAAATCAATAAAGAAACTTCGACAAGGCTACCTATTTGCCTTTAGAATTGTTTTATTATGTTGCAAAGTTAAAAAATGTGGATATAAGTTCTTCATTCTTGATAAGAAATTAACGAAATCCTCGTTGGTAGAGACGACGTATTTAGCTACTCTTCAACCAGAAAATATAAAAAAACAACAACCAAAAAACATATATCAATTCTTGATGAATGTAGTGATGTAAGTTTAAGGCTTACCTGCACTTTGTAATGTAAATATGCTTATGACTTCAAATTTATTCAGTTCTTCAAGTTACTTTTTCTCCACTTCATCATACTTAAAACATCCTCTCCATCCATTTTGTATTGTCTGCCTTCAACTTTGTTTGCAAATTGTACATACCGATGTTAATGTTGGTTCACCTTGCATTATAACAAGTGCTGATTGTTGTCATATAAGATAAATCTAAATTAAAGTTTTGGAGCTAAAGTTTAATTTAGATTTACCTGTGTAAATTACCAAATATTTGCAACGTATTATAAAAGAGCTCTTTCGTGTTTGTTCTGATGTTTAACATAATTACTATGAAACAACATACTTAATTTACAGAAACACAAAGCTGCATTTACAAAAACTAGAATCATCAAGTCACTTATTACACATTCACCTATACATGCGTTTTTTTACAATTTTAAAAAGTACATCAGGTATGGTGTCATAATCTTACACATAAAATCTGCTTACTTGACTATAAATTCCCAGTCATTGCACAAATATAAGATGACGTGCTATGAAATATGTGGCAATTGCACGATTATCACAATATAACGAATAAGGATTTTCTCACTTATTATGAGAATGACGTACACCAGTTTACATGAATACTACAGTTTATTGCTAAAATATACTGCTTTATCTACAATAATTAGAGTAAAGCTATTCTCTTTGATCTTTGAAATGCAAAGCAAAAGTTTTATTCTTGCATTAAATATTATTTTACAATGTCCTTTCAAACATCAGAAGAAGTTTCTCTTGTAAAGTGTATCAACTGTGGGCAATGTCTATTGTCGCTATATAGACACAAAATATATAGAATAACAGTTTCAAGCGTGCAGAAAAAAGTGAAAAGTGAAAAAAAGTACACAACTTCCTTGTCTAACTTACGAATTCATGTCGAAACTAAGAATTTCAAATGGTTTTTTGTTCTCACTTTCTTTAGTTGTTGATACTTTAACAAGGAGGTGGAAAACTCTGTAGTCTTTTATGTTGAATAGGACTGATTTTCTTAATGGCAAGTAGCACTACATCGATGAAATCACTATAGCTTCTAATCCTAAGAACATGATCTTGTGGTGGTGGTGAAGCAATATTAAGAATTTCTTCAATATCACGTGGGAAATTTCCAATAACGATAACGAAGATTTCAATTCGAGCGTATTTCAATTCATATGCATTATGCAATGATAGCATTTTGTTTACATTGAATAGTCCATCAGTGACAAGCAACACCTTTTTCCATGATCCGGGACGACTTCCTGTGAAATAGAAAAGAAAAACGATCAATAATCATTCACGGTAAAACCTAATTCCTCAAAATACCATATCTTTATGTTTGCGAATTGTTTTTCAATTAATAAAATCTTTCTACATGAACATTCAAATACTAGCCAGTTTGACTAGTTCATATAATCGCTCAGATTTAACAAATAAACTTTGGGTATATTCAAAGTTAAATTGTTATTGTAAATAAACAACTATAAAATAAAAAATTATAAGAAGTACGATGATTGGTCTAAAGCTGAGTTTGCATTAGCTTGTGAAAATGGGCAAAAATCGATCTGAGCTCAATCTAATAAATCACTAAAGATAATTCGCAAAGTCAGGGTCAAGGTTATTGTTGAATGTCTCATATTTTGAGAAAATTAATGAGATGAATAAAGAAAAAAAAATTTTTAATGAGCACCAAACTAAAGATAAAATTTTTTCGTTTTTTGTTTATAAAGTTACTAAAAAATTCAATTGCAAGTTAACTGCTTATCAAATTGAATGTAAAATATGTGGTGATAAGCTACTGTGATTTGGGTTGACAAATGTCTGATACAGTGTTTCATTAGAAGTGTAGCTGATATGGCACACAAAACTGCAAGCACCAATTGATTGTAATTTTTGTTGATGAGCAATTTTTAACCTTTACTATAAATTTTTAAGGAATTATACAAAATAAGATGAGTAAGTTTTCTTGCTTTTATGTATCAACTACAAAAATAACCACATTTTTTCTATAAGTCCACTTTTACTGTCAAAAGCTGTTTGTTAAATTGTTCTATTTGATTGGTTATAAATAGTTCGGAAATAAAGCCAGGATTAACCGTATGGCTGACGGTGTGTCAGCCACAGGCACAGCGCGTTAGATTGGCCTCTCGCTTAATTAATTTATTGTCATTATAACGTTAAAGTTAATCTCTTTATTCCAAAGCCATCATCTGAGATTATACCTAATATAAATCACGGTTTTTATATGGACATGAAAAACATGTGACTTGGACGAGATTTGAACTTGCACCTTCGGAATACTAGTCCGTTTGATGGGCCCTTCGCTTAATTAATTTATTGTCATTATAACGTTAAATTTAACCGCTGTTCAGCAGTACTTACTGCCAATTTTATGGCTACTACAAATATGTGGCCTCTACTATTGGAATGCCTCTCTCCTATAGGAGCTCCTATCAGTGCGTAAACCCCATAGACTCCCAGCTGTTAAAAGTGCGAGAGCCCTACATGTGGTTGCTGCTAAAACGCAAATTTATACTGTAAACTCAAAAACGCACTGTATGCTGTGCATTGGCGTGAAAAACATACCAGCATGCAAAGAGGCTACAAAAGCTCACATCAAGCGCTATAGTAAAATTATGGATTGGCATAAATCGCTGACAAAGAAGAAAAAACCTAAAACTCGAGAGGAGGCCCATTTACTATTAACTAAAACAAACCAACTAGACGCAGGAATGTAGCTTTGCATGATATAATATTCTGGATCCCTTTGACGTAAACTGTCAAGCTCTACCATTGGCTAATAAAGATCTCAATTAAGCTGTTGCAATCTATTAATCACTCATAGATTTATAAATGGCCAAGACTGCAGCATGAAAAATTTAAAATTAGGAAAGAAGCTCAGTCAAGGCAATTAATTAATACCTCATAGAAGACAAACAAACGCGTTAAAGAGGTTGTTGCTTAATCCATTCAAAATAAGTAATGGGCGTATAGTGCAGAACCAAGTCTATAAAATCGGAAAAAAAATTTTCTTGAACGAGAGAATTGACGCTAATTTGCGAGGACGACTGGTGCACACACCAGAATTGTTGCAAACAGGTTTGAATTTTTTTTTTGAAAACTGCGTGATCTTTCAGTCAAAGAAATGATCGAGAGTAAAAGTGTCTCCAAGAGATATGCTTTACAGATCTACAATTCAATTCTCCTCGTTAATTGTGCAGTTTTAATTCTTAAAAAAAGATTTTGCAATGAAGTCATTAACTGCATTACTGCAACTTCTTTCAAAGCTTTGAATTATACATCCTCTCCTGAATATGACAACGAAAATAATCGAACATGTCGTCTATCATTAAAGACTTAATTTGTTCTTAATAAATGCGTAATCACAACTTTTACAAATACATCACAGAATGGCATCTTAGTAATTTTGTGGAAACACTGTCGCTAATGCGCATTTAATGTAAACGAGTTTTTTGAAATTAGACATGTTTCGAATTCTCACGACGCTATCTTCAGTACTAAAGATAATTACATAATTATTAATCGAGCTCGAGATCTATACAGAGAAATATTGTACCGAGGTCTTTTTTTCCGATCGAGCCTGTAAGATGAGGTTTGTAAAAAAAGACAGAGGTCCGATAGTTCTCAGTAAAGACCGAGAAAGTGAGGTTATTAAAAGGTTTATTATATGGCGTTATTTAATCTGAAACAAATCTTGCTTTCTATCTCGTCTTTGCTGTTTTGCACTGCTTGACTTTCACTTTTCTAATTTTTGTCAGTAAAAAAGAAATCGTTTTAAATTGTATCATCTGGATAGTTAAACTGTCTTCCAAGTGTTTTCTTTCGACAAACATTCGCAAATGGTTTTTTGCTTCGTTTTTTTTTTGGTTATAACGTTTGCTTTACGAAGTTTGCTTACATTTGACAGTAAAATTACGTGTTTTTGGACAGTGGTCCATAACGGGAAAATAATGGACCGGCAAAAATGTTTCTGAGCCAATCAAAGCGCATTTTTTTACAGGAAGTGACGATTGCCATATAATAAATAAAAGTAAGATAGTGAAATAACTATAACATAAATATATAAATATGAATAACTTATAACAATAACGAGGAACTAAGATAAATTAATGGAAAGCGTGTTGGCTACAAACTAAATATAGTGTTCAATCTAAAAACTTGAACATTGAGGTCAGGATTAGTTTTGTTCATGTGGAGTGCTTCTTTGATTTTAAGGGAGAACGAGGTGTCTGCAGTGTGAATGATTTTGAAGCAAGAGGGTAAATACTTAATTTTACATGAATGAGATTTATAATTGATTTCGGTAGACATTAGATTTTTGTCTGTTGTAATATGTTGTGGTGGCAAAATGAAAGATACGTTATATCCCTCAACCGTGCAATTTACATGCTGAGCATCGCGCATCGGAGCATTTTATAATTCTTGGCTACAAATGTTTAACTACTTGTGATTTTAACTTAAATACTTTTATAGCAGTCAAATAATTAATTGTATACCAGCTTGATTAGATAACAACTCAAATTGATGTTCATGCGTTCATTGATAATGACAAAGTAACTTAAGCTTTCAGTTTTATCTATTTAAACAACAAAATCTTAACTCACCTCTTCTTGGGCCATCAAATAGCTGTTTTGCTCCTTTTAAGCCTTCAGCAGTGTTTGTTGCGCGACCCTCATATGTAAATGAGTGAGATTTGTTTGCAGCTTGAGAAGTAGGAACGAAATCAAAAATAATTGTTGCGTCGTAAGAGTACTGAACACCAGCCCAGTAAATGTTGTAACTGTCAGGTAATTCAGCATTAATGAGATATTTTAAAGCGCATTTCCCCTTCTTGAATTCACGAGATCGGATGGATCCAGATGAATCCAGTAAAATGACAATGTCTTCGAAAAATTTCTGTGTCTTATTTCGCACACCATTTTTAAGATGAAGGAAATTCGTGAGTAAATGATTGGCAGAAGCTTCTTTTGAAGGAATTTTCATGAATTCTATAAAAAAGTTATTAAGATCAATGACAAAGTTGTATAATTTGCAAAAATTCGGGGTTAGATAAAAACAACTGCTCTGTTAAATTCTTAGTTAATCCAAAAATTGTCGACGTTTTTTTTCTTCTACCCCACCCTTCACCCCCCAGTAGAAAAGACTTCCCGTTTTATATTCTACAATGCAAACATTTTTGAATTTAATTATTGGAAAAACGATGGATAGAATTAAATTTTCTAAAATAATAAATAATAGTTTTGCAGAAAAATTAGCATATTAACTTAATGCACAATGTTATGAAATTTTTACAACTAGCCTTTATCTCATGCTTTGCACGCTTTTATGTTAACTCTTGCTTAATTCACTCGTGTTTGAATTAATAAAGAAAAACTAGCAGATCCTAATGTAACAGCTTTTGAAGTTTTCATAAAAAATAATCATCGAAAAAAACCAACGTTCTACTCCGTCCGTTTCCTGGCATTCTCTCCATAGCATAGTGTTGTCCAATGGCGAAGCCAGCCCAATGTTTTATTCTTATAATGTAAATTTCTCAGCAAAATTATTATTCACTTCTTTAGAAATTTAATTCCATTCATGTTGTTTTTAGTGATTGAACACAAAAATATTTGAATTGCATGCGCAGGAGTAAAAAACGGGCTGGCTTCGCTACCGGTATCGTTATCTTGAGCTGTCTATATACACAAGCTGACAAACTTACTTTCGTAAAACTTCCCGTCTCCAATCAGTTGGAGGTTCTTTCCTGTTGATGTAAAAGAGAATTCAACATATAAAAAGCAATTATTCGACGAAGTTTAGCATGATAACAGGAATTATTCAGATGGATTTTTTATTTGCTAAATGCTTTAGCTATGCTGTTAAAATAAGAAATCCTAGTCTTCCATGAAAAAAATCACTTTTAGTCTAGCAGATATTTAAGCAGACGTTACATCAATTAATGAGCAAAAACCGCCATCTTGAAAATCTAGCCGTATGCAAATTAAAGCGGAATATATTACATGACGTTAAGTGTAGAGAAACACTTATCATTTCTGTAAAAAATACATCGTAAAAAATGTAATATTATCACAAATTTTGCTTTAAAACGTGAGATTTAGCAGATGGAAAATATATTCAGCATACATAACCTATAAACCAAAACGATTGTGTGAAGGCAGTATAGCAATAGAATCATTGATAATTGTTTTTACTTGATTAAGCTACAGTACAAACGTAAATCGAGTTTTTAATCGATATTGAAATAATCTAATACGTATATCTTCGATTTCAACAAAAAAAGCTGTAATTTATCAAAAGACTGACTATATTATTGCCAAGAACCGTACATATGCTTGTTATCTTAAATAGACGCTTCATACACATGACGTAATTTAATCATGCGACCATTTGGAATTACTAAAAACTAAAAAAATGCCTTAATGTTGACAGGAAATTTTTGTTTAGCATTAACTTTTTAGTCATTTAGTATAAAAAAAATATCCATTGCCAATTTCCTTTAAGATTGTCAATAAGGGCGTTTAAGTTAAAGTAATGGCTAGTCATTGTGTTCTTGAGTTTATGTGTGCACTAGAGTTTTAATCAGTCCTATCTAAAACTTTTTTGAAGTGAAACTAATGAAGTCAGTGGTGTATTATGCAGTAGGCCAATTAAGCTGAAGCCTACAGGCCAATGCTTTTGAGAGAAGAGTACTATCTAGACATAATTAATGTTCCTTTTTGCCATTCAAAGGTAGATTAATGCTCTTCATTTAGAGCAAATATTTTGTTCAAAACTTTTCTATCTACTTTTTAAATGCACAATGCTCAGAACTCAAGAAGTAGTGGGTTTTCTCAGTTTGAGCTTTTAATTCATTCCCCATCATTTGCACTATGAGTTACAAACACAAACCGGAAATGCAATAATGCAAAGCAGCGCGAGCAACGCAAACATTTACGGTTTTCTTAAGAAAAAAGATGTCGTGTGGGAGTTAGTTGTTGTGTTTTTAGTAATGACAAGTCTTAAGAAGGAAACTAGCTGTCATGTATATATTTTCCATACTAAAGTTTATTTTTTTGGGTTGTATGTTCAAGTAATTAAAAACGACAAAGTGTACGTCATCCTCGTAGTCAGAAATAAAAAATATGTCGTCAATGTGACGTCTGAATAATAGTATGTTAGGTCTGTCATAATACTTGATCCAGCTCTTCCTAGAGTGTCTCATAAAAAGGTTGGTCAGTAAATAATTATACATGACTAATCTATACTTCCGTTTTTATAACATAACACCATATATATTACCTTGTATCTATGTAAACTATTAGAATTATAATGTTTAAGTAACCATTTTAATATAACATAGCCAAATACAACGTGCAGTGCAATAGAACAGAATAAGAATACTAATAAGATAGGATGTCAACAAGACAAAGAACCTAATATAAAACATAAGTGTTAGTGCCAAAGTCCATGATCATTTATCCAATCATGTATCATCATTATAGGTATAAAGTTCCCGTATCATATTACTCTAATAATACGTTTACATCCCAATACTCCCACTTAATGATTATACTTGAAACAGTTGAATGTTCATTGTTCTTTAATCTTGATAACGCCTAACATGTTCCTGAATTTCTGAAAAGTATCTTTACTAAGTCCTTTTGTAAATATATCCGCTAGCATATTCTCACTGGAACAATATTTAACAGAAATGATATTCTCGTGAACTTTCTCTCTCACATAGTGATATGCCACATCTATATGTTTTGTCTGAGAGTGGAATTTCGATTTTCTTGATAGCTCAATAGCCCCTTGGTTGTCTTCATAGATGATGGTAGGCTCTCGTTGTGTTATTGAGATACTATCCAGTAGTTTTCTCAACCAGACTCTTTCTTGGCATGCTGTGCTTAAAGATACATACTCGGCTTCTGTTGTTGATCTTGCAACACATCCCTGTCTTTTGCTGCACCAACTCACAGTATTCCCATTAATTTGATATATGTACCCTGTAGTAGATCGACGTGTCACTATATCTCCACCCCAATCTGCATGAATGAATGAATGAATGAAAATGAATGAAAATCTTTATTTTGACACGCTGGCCTTGTTAACTGGGGTTGATTTCCACAAGGGGCGTGCTTTTGTTCAAAAACAATTACAAAATTTACTAAGAAATAAATTATCTACAGAAGAGAAGTTTAAATATTTACAGAGTTTAGTTTATTCCATCAGTTACATGTTAAACTAAATCATAAAATGCAAGCAGCAATTTTCTTTTGAAAAAGTGACACGCTTTTGCTATTTCTGATTTCTGATGGAATTGAATTCCAAACAGAAGCCCCATCATACGCAAAGCTTTTCTTCAAGGAGTTAGTACTAGGCATAGGAACATTTAGACAACTTGTAATATTGCGTAGATTGTAATCAGTGATGTCTTTTTATAGGTAAACAATCTAGTAAGTGAGTTTGGTCCAGCATTTTTTAATAATTTAGACATCAGCTTTGCTTTAGCTTTTTTTCTAAGTATTTCAAGAGGTTCCCACTTCAATTCTTGTAATGCGTTACAATAATCGACATCAATGGCCATGCTTATGATAATATTTGCAGCTCTATTTTGAAGTTTTTGTAGTCTTTTGGACTGAGTTTCCCCCAATACACCCCAAACTTCACAGCAATATGTGAAGTAAGGATGTACCAGGGCATTATAAATAGAGATAAGTGTTTGTTTGTCTGTGTATTGCTTTAATTTTCTAAGGGCGGAGATACCGGCTGCTACTTTTTTGCAAATTTTATCAGTGTTACTCCTCCAAGATAAGTGTTGGTCAATTATTAAACCCAAACTTTCGTACTCATAAATTCTATTTATAACGTAATTGCCAATTGCAATATGCAAATTAGAAGTAAAAACATTCTTGATCATTTGTTTCGAGCCTATGATCAAATATTCAGTCTTGGTTGAATTCAAACTAAGTTTGTTATAGTTTGTTTAAGTTTGTTGCATCTGTATATCCTGACAATATTGGATCATTGCCATCTGTGGTAAAGTGTAAACCATAATCCAATGTACCTTGAATGTAGCGTAGGATCCTTTTCACTCCTCTCCAATGCTCTAGTCTTAGTTTTGCCATAAACTTTGATAAAGTTCCAACTGCAACAGCTAAATCGGGTCGACTTATCAATGTAGCATAGTTTAAGCATCCAATTGCCATTTGATATTGCTTCACATTAACTGGATTCTCACCTTCAATTAACACTTCCTACTTCTTTCCAAATTCAAGTGGTGTTGAGACTGCTTTACAATTTTGCATGTCGAATCTTTTCAGTATTCCTTGTAGATATTTCTCCTGATTAATGGTTAATGTTCGCAATCTTCGATTTAGTTTTATACTCATCCCCAGCACATAATGAATCTCACCAAGATCTTCAACATGGAATCTATTTGCAATTCCTGACTTTCTTTTTCCAACATCTCAATAGAATTGGAGAAATGGAGCATGTCGTCAACATATATTGCGATTATGAAAAAGTTAATCTTGCCATTTTTGAACTTTACGGATTTGACCTATACGCAAGGATCTGCTGAACTTTTCTTGTACCCATTTGAAAGCAAATGTTCATCGATAGAGGCATTCCAGCACCTTGCTTTAACCAATATATACTTTTATTAAGCTTGCAAACATATTCAGGATGATCTTTGTCAACAAAACCATCAGGCTGCTGTAAATAGATTTCTTTCTCTAATTCTCCTTGAAGAAATGCAGTTTTTACATCTGTTTGATGTATTTCCCAATCACACATGGTTGCCACAGCCAATAATGATCTGATGGTATTATATCTTGCCACTGGAGCAAACACATCCTCGTAATCTACTCCATATGATTCATCATAACCTTGAGCAACTAATCTTTCCTTAAATCGTTCAATTGAACCATCAGCTTTTCTTTTTACTTTGTAAATCCATTTACTCCCGATTACGTTTTTGTTTTCTGGTAAAGGTAATAAGTCCCAAGTATGATTATCTTTGAACGAATTGTATTCTGAGATCATCGCGTTCTTCCATTCATTCGCATGTTCTCCAGTCGTTGCTTCTTTTATCTTGTTGGGTTCACTGATGTCTGCAGTTAAGTCGCTGACTGTGTAACATTCTTCGTCAAATCTTTGAGGTGCTCTTCGTATCCTTTCACCTTTGAGTTGTCTAACTTCATTCATGAATCTCTGTTCGTAAGAATTTTCTCCCACTCGATTGCAATCATATACTTCTCTTGCATCAACATTACCGTTTTCATGTTCAGCATTTCGATCTTCTATTGATTGGCTGTCATCATTGCTATTTATATGAACATCATGTACATTACGATTTTCTTCATCTTCAATGAGTTTTTGCTCACGCTGTTTGTTTTCAAAGTTATAAAATTGCTGCTCTAGAAACATAACGTCACCACTTTTATAAAACTTCTTCGACATTGGATCAAACACCTTAAACCCTTTTGTCCCATCAGGATAACCCATGAAAATCGTCTTGAGAGATTTTGCATCCAACTTTTCCTTTGCTCTTTAGGAATGTGCATATATTTTATGCAGCCAAACACTTTCAGATTACTTACATCAGGTTTTATCCCAAATAGACACTGATAAGGAGTTATACCGTCCAAAGCAATTGTCGGACTTCTATTTTGAAGGTAAGTTGCTGTATTTACAGCTTCAGCCCAGAATTTATTTGGTAGACGTGAGTGCATCAACATACTTCTTGCTGATTCATTATCGTACGATTCATGCGTTCTGCAACTCCGTTTTGCTCTGGGTTTATACGGAACAGTTGTTTGATGTGTTATACCATTGTCCTTTAAAAACGACTCAAATTCTTTTGATTGATACTCACCACCGTTTTCTGTGCGTATAATCTTAACTTGCTTACCAGAGATATTCTTTGCATAGTTGAAAAACTCTTTGAATTTTTCCAAAACTTCGTTCTTGTTCTTCAAAAAGTATACTTGTACATATCTGGTGTAGTCATCGATAAAGGAGACATAATATCGAGATCCACCAATGGAATTCTCTTGTATCGGTCCACATACATCACTATGTATAATTTCAAACGGTTTCTTAGCTCGTTGTGAAACGCCTTTTGGAAAAGAGCAACGATGCTGTTTTCCCAACACACAAGCTTCACAAAACTGATTTTCACCAGTTACATTGCCTATTCCATCGACCATATCATTCTCGACGAGTTTCACTACATTGTTTATTCCAAGATGTCCCAATCTGCAATGCCATAAATTCAAATCTGAATCAAAGCTTTGGTCTTTTGCAACATTCATATAATGCTCCACAATTTTCAAAATTTACAGTTTTCCTTGTAGTTCTCCAACTGCTAACAGTTTTGAACTTCGTCGAATGTTACAAACATCGTTTTCGAAAGTAACAATAGCTCCAAGTCTTAACATCGCTCGAACAGATAATAAATTTCTATTTATGTCAGGTAAATACAATACATCCTGCAAAGAGATGTTTTTGTTTCCGTCGCCAAGAATAGCTTTTACCTTATAAGTTCCTTTGCCATACGCTAAAATAGAGCGGTTATCTCCAAGGTTTACTACACACGGTTGCTTAAATTCTACGTAATTGCATAAGCCTTCCAAATCGTAAGTCATGTGCTGCGTTGCACCGGAGTCGATAATCCAATCTGAATTCCTTGTAATGTTTGATGAATTTGAAATCAACGCATCACCATTATCGATCTCGCTATTTTCTTCGTTTTCTGCAAGCTGAGCAGACTTGCTTCCCTTATTGATTGAAGAGTTGCCACTGTTTGGAAACTGCTTCGTCTTCTTCTGCGGACAGTCTTTTGCTAGATGCCTTTTCTCGTCACAAATGAAACACTTGCCACGAAAGCCTTTCTTTCGATCAAAAATATTCTCATTCTGACCACCACGTTGTTTCCCACCTCGAAACTTGTTACGTCGCACGGAAAATGCATCCTCTTTTCTGGTCTCGGAATCTTTGGCTCTGTCTTCATCATTTAGTATCATGTTTATCACTTTCTCATAAGAAAGTTCATTCTCACCAACAGCATCCAATGCCGTTATTAATGGCTTATATTTATCTGGCAAACTAGCCAACAGGGTCATTGCCAGTTCCTTATCATCGATACTTGCCCCCATTTCTTTTAGTTGATCGTGTAATGATTTTAAGTTGTTTATATGCTCCAACATATTCCCTCCAACGTGAAATTTTGACGAATAATATTGCTGGCGAAGATGAACCTTCTGAAGTAACGATTCCCTGGCAAATCGACTTTTCAAAGCGTCCGATGCTTCCTTTGCCGTTATCGTTTCTCTCACGTGCACTTGCTGATCCGGGTTGATAGCCAAGCAAATATACTTCCATGCTTTTTTCGCGGAGGAATTGAATCTCCTTCGAACATCAGCACCGGCATCGTCGTTAGGAGCAATCGCACTACCTTGGACGAATTCAAACAAGTCCATGCTTTCCAAATATAACCGCATATTGAAAGCCCATGACCGGTAGTTCGTGCCACTCAATTTTGCGAACTTAAGAGCGCCATCCGAAAAAGACATTGTTTAAGTTTTAAATTACTTATCTTAAGTAGGACAGTTTGCGTCCTGGGCCCATAACCTATTAGAATTATAATGTTAAAGTAACCATTTTAATATAACATAACCAAATACAACGTGCAGTGCAATAGAACAGAATAAGAATACTAATAAGATAGGATGTCAACAAGACAAAGAACCTAATATAAAACATAAGTGTTAGTGCCAAAGTCCATGATCAAATATCCAATCATGTATCATCATTATAGGTATAAAGCTCCCGTATCATATTACTCTAATAATACGTTTATATCCCAATATAAACTTCTTATTCATTTCGGACAGAAGAAGTTGCTAAGTATGCCGAAATATATTTACTACTATTATATTACTAATACGAATATTTCAGTATGTATTATATGTGTAATTATAAATATAACTTTTTCATTGGCCTAATAATTAAACGTATTATATTTAAAATGTTACTTACGAATACACTGTTTACCATCTCCAGTGTAGCCAACAATACACTTGCACGTATACTTCCCAGGAGATGTGTCTGTACATTTGGCAAAAGAAGGATGACAGTCGTCTTTTTGGGAAGCACATATGAAAGAAACTACAATCAAAAGAATCACGGGAATCGTTTGAAACATACTTTAATTTGGACAATATAAATTAGGTTTCAAAATTATTATAGGTTTTGTTAGTTCTCTCAAGACTATGCTGTGAGTTTTATTCAGCATTGCATGAACATTTCAACGAATCAACTAAAAGTAACAAAATTTTTGTTGATTGCAGTGGTGTGTGAATTATTGTATTCTCGAAAACTGTAAATGTTAAAGGTAAAAATTTAAGTAGAGGAGATTTTAGCCAAAGAGAAATAATTGAAGGACATATTTTTTGATATGGACGTAAACAAGTACAGTGTATGATGCATTTACCATTAAACAGTTTGTAGATCAATTCCATGGTTATTTTATCAGTCTTCATTAAGTCTTCAAAATCTCTCAGAAAGAAAGCGCTCTCTTCATCTTTCACCATATCTTTAACTTCTTCATAATCAACAAATGGGCCGATGCCCACAGCAAAGATATTTAAATTTCTACGTTTAAAGAATGGCTGCATTGCTTCTCGGACGTATATGTATCCTCTACTTCTTGTCTGTCTTCCATCGGTAAGAACCATAAAAAATTTTGTAACGTCTGGATCATCCTCCCGATACCCAGCAGATTTCACAACTACCTTAGAGTCAGCTACAGCCAATCCAAGATCGGTCCTGGTTCGTCCTCCTATTAGTGGTCCAGGCATACTGTTCACAATATATCTAAACCATCCTGGACTCTGACTGCTGTTCAATGTTAGCTCCACCATGCCATGTTCACTAAATGTAACGATAGCCGCTTGACCAATTATTTTCCCTGAAGAATCGCGCTCACCAACCCTCAATCTTTCTCCAATAGAAATAAGAAACTGTCGCACCAACTGAAAATCAGCATAGCGAATACTACTAGATCTATCAATCATGAAGATTATATCCACTTTTGGGGCTAAAAAATAAAAAATTCTATACTTCACACTTTACTTAAGTATACATGTACAATAAATACACTTAAATGTCGTGTTGTTTTAAGCTTATGGAAAAAAATCAACAAATGCTATTATGCTAAGGCGATAAGTGTATTTAGTCAAAATTGGATTATGTCAACTTTGCGTCAGGTTGAACTAAAAACAACCTGCGTAAACAAACGATTCAGAAACTACATGCTTTCCAAAAAAATGGACGTTGCATAATTTAGGAATTCACTGAAATGACTATGCACAATAATGTTACTGCCTTTTAAAACAGTTTAATGAATTAACAGTTTTGCATTCCTTGGATTTTATTGGGTTTTTTAAATATTTAAAGCAAAACAAGTTATAAAAGTACTTTATACCACGATTTTCAACTCAAATTAATTACGCTAAAGCTTTGTAACGTTGCTCGTTGCTGTAGCTGGATTGCATTGAAAATTTTATTTCAAATTATAAATTTGCAAATTACTCGCCATAATTTGCATAGTTATATCTCAACAAACTTCGTTGGAAAAAATGTCTTCATTGTTATCTTTTAAAAGAAAAATAAATTTGACTAAAATATGCAAAATATATTTTACTGGATTTTCGTCAAAATGTTAAAAGCATTACAAAAATAACGTGAGTAATATTTATCGGTGTCTATTGCCTGTTTCAATGGGTTTTGTCTGCGAGCATTCAATCAATTAATAAGCCCTTTATAACCGAGCACGAAAGGCGAGGTTTGTACAAAAAGACAGAGGTCTGATATTTAACAGTAAAGACCGACAAAGTGAGGTCATTAAAAGCTATAAAAGGGCAGAAAATATTAGACACATCCAAAAGGAGTGAAAAATTATTAGATTCTCCCAAAATTCGTTTTATTTTAAAGGTGTCTAATAATGAAATTCCTTCGTTCGTGCGTTGTATTCTAATAATAAGGATATTCCATTTTATAGGTGTCTAATAATAAGGATATTCCATTTTATAGGTGTCTAATAATAAGGATATTCCATTTTATAGGTGTCTAATAATAAGGAAATTCCTTCGTTCGTGCATCGATTTATGTAACATATATGACGGATTAATTAATTTATCTTTTAAAACTAAATCTCATGAAAGTTTGCGCCAAAAATTTTGTTTTCCTGTTAAGTTTTTCGTCCACGGAAGCGCACTAATGTGTTTTGGGTAAAAATGCACTTCCAAAACTGATGTTTGTTTAACATTTTATTTGCTTTTTCATGTTTTACGAAGCTTGTATGCATCTTGCTAATTAATAAATATTTGCTACTTTGGAGCATTATTTCGAGAATGAAACGAGATGTGCACAAACTGTTTTAGAAAATATACTATTATTTTCAAAGTTCTGTTAAATGAAACTACAGTTCAAGTAGTAAAATTTTTAAGTCATATGCCATTTAAAGACATACGAAAACAAACAACTGGAGCAAAATACCTTCTAGTTATGATTAGCTATGGCTCCCTTCACAAAATTCATTAATCGAAAATTTCTGTATACATGATGTAAAGTTTTATTTGAAAAGTTTTGTTTGCAAAATAAAAACAAAAAGGATTTTTGATTTGTGTTGGGAGGTTCATAGTTAGTACAAGTTATGTTTTTGTTTCTTTCTACTGGCCGTGTGTTTACATTTTGTGGAAAGACAAGGTGCTGCTGACATCAAAATATCGACTAAGGTAGCCTTCATCTCATGCTTTCATCTATTTAGTTCAATGCTCTAGCCAGAAAAATCATGCAATTAAGTTGTGTACGTGATTTAAGGTTTAAAATATTAATAATATACATCAAATATTTCTCAATTCTGATTGCTTAGGAGCAGTGCAATTTATTGTAAATAATAGTGTAAAAATGTGGAACACAGAGCAAAAAAAGAAATACAGTGCAATTTCTTTTTGGAAAATGCGCTTCTGATTGGTTAGTCAAACAAAAAAATGATGTAAAAGAGCCAATCAAATTAAAACATTTCAAAAGCGGGAAAATTAAATTATTGTAAACTAGGCAATTACAACGGCTGGCGTAAGTTTTAATTAATTTTCTCAAGCAAAGCAGTTTACAGCTCACCGTTTGCAAGATGTTTCTGGATGAAAATAACAACACTGCTAAAAGTAGATACCTTGTTCTGGCTGTGTCCGCGGAAGCTATGGTATTGGAAACAGTAATATCCGACGGAATTGAAAAATACCAGCCGGTCAACTGATGGTTCAACTCGCCGGCTGAATTAATGTACGTACACTGAAGTTAAAAATTGCAGAAGTGAGAAATTTTTTCATGTATATTAATAATAAGTAATAGCATGGTTTCTCGTGCAATTTGGAAAAGATCTACTCGTGAGTTTTTCAAAGACTTCAAATTACACTCGTCCACCATCTTGTACAAATATTTCATACCTAAACATAAATTGCATTTTCCTTTGTATCCTTTCGCGCATGTGCATTCCAAAGCTCCATTCATTTTAAAGTAGTATGAATTGGGACCATATTTGGGAAAGTCAAACGTCTTTATTGCTATACAATTGAAATTAAAACATTTATTGGATAAATTTTCAGCCAGATTCTGTTATGATCTCAGAAGCACCAGGCTAATTGTGCATTTAAAATCAACGAAAAAACTTTTCATCATAAAAATGTTTCCATATATATTAAGTCATTTTCAGTATAAACATGATTTAAATATTAACAATATTAAATTCATAATAGGATACATTGAACGTCTCAATTAATAAACAGTAAAAGAATAAGGTGTACATGTGATAATTGAAAACGGATAATGATATATGATACAAGTTGAAACATGATTATTATAAGAAATTTTGATGTTTACTTTAAGTGTAGTCTCCATTACCATAAAGTAATTTATGGAAAGGGCCGTCCCTGAAACGTATATTGAGTGGAGGAGGTGGGATGCTTATTGATATATTCAAATGTGCCCCATTGATTTCTTTTGAATGTATCATTTCTTAATAGTTTAAGTGAATTCCTTCCAAAAGAATCCGTAGGGCAAAACTGAATATATAAAAAAAACACCTCCTCCTTAAATTGATGTTCTAGGAACGGTCCTTATTATGCCTTAACTGGAAATTTTTTTTGCATATTGTCCATGAGACAGAGGGAATTTTCATGAACTTTTTAAAGACTAATTTTTATGTTGATATTATTGTATTGTTGTAGTAGTTGATATACTTTAACACGAATTCGAATGTTGTTTTTACTTTTCTTGTATGACAATGTACACAGGCATTTCATTCAACTTTTACCATCAGTTGAATTTATAGGGGAAATGGTGGCACAAGAGAAAGGGTAACAATTTGTTGTTCTGAGTATAATTGATTTCTATGGATGATATTTCGTGAACTTTGTAGTCGCTTAATGTTCCACACATAATAAGCGAAGAAACTTTAAGCAAATTGTTCCAAAAACAGAAAATTTAAAACACACCAAGAGATTTTTTGCTAGCCGATCAGTTACCGACAAACAACGTTGTTCGAGTAATGCAGGTATGCTTGTTGCCACATGCTTATGCTCAAACATTTGTGTACATAACATGCATGCTCTAAGTATTCCATTTTGCCTAAATATTAGAAGTAAAGTGCTAGTCTGCATAAGGATAAAGTATGAATTTTTTTTAAAGCATACCAAGAAATCAATCAAGCTTGCTCTAGCAAAACCATATCACCACAATAAGCAGCAGAATTGTTTGTTTTATCAAACACTTCTTAATATTCAAAGAAAAACAATAATATTACAATATGCTAAGAGATCCAAAGAAGAGATAATTTAGGTTAATAGTTTCTAGTTTATCTCCCACCTGCTTCAATTCAACTCACATTATCATAAGTTTTGTCGTGATAACTGGTCAAGGACTGTTCCCTATGGAGCACTTGATAATAGTGTGGTCTGACTTGAGTTATTACTTTAATGCAAGTAAATATGTTGATAAGTCTTAATAAAAAGTAGTTGAAAAAAATATTAGTAGATCACGTACACCGAAAAGCACAAGAAATTCAACAATAAGCATTTCTGTGCAACACAATAACAGATTTTTGATTGTAAATCTTTGACTTTCTCTTATCAGCCCTGCACTGATATGAACTAGTAAATAAGCAAATAGCTGTTAAAAACAGAATTTTGCCTTTGATAAAGGGTGGATCAAGGAAGGAACTATGTGAACCTGTCTCAACAAGGATTACTGCAACAGAAAAGGAAGAATAGCTTAAAAACAAAAACTTCTCTTCGCATCACCATTGAGAAACAAAGCTTTTTTTCATTGATACATCGAGATACCTTTTAACTTGTTATAATGGGGACAAGTAGCAAGGCGTCACGTGACGTCCCTGATTTCGACTGATTGTTACAACACGCGCAACACTTCCAAACTTCCAGCCCGAGTTTGATCGCCCCTTTGCACGACAAGATATGATGATGATGATGACCTGTTATAATTTCTAAGAATGTTATTGAGTCAACAATATTTTTTCACAAAAGGGATGCCTGTTCAAGAACTTAACAGTTTTTATCCGTTTTCTGCTTTAGCCCATACGATATCTAAAAATGATCATTGAACGAGCAGCTCTTCCGTTAACTTGGTACAGTGAATTTGTGTCGTATAACCTCTAGCGCTTCGAGATGTGCTATAAATCAAGTCTAGAGATCTAATTTACTGAAGTAACATAGACTAAATAAAGTATACATTTTCCCCTTGTCTCTAAATGTTATTTTACTTAGTAGTGTTCAAGCAAAGTCGAATTGTACTTGGAATTTGTTAAGTACTGTAAGGGTAATAGTCATCATTGTATAAGTACAACAATGTTCTATGTTGATATCTTTTCGACTCCCAATTGTTTGATTGAACTAAAGATACATATTAATATGACAGGAGTCCTCTATTTCCCTAGAAAACTGATTGGACCGATTTGCTTTGTTTAGTATGTGTCAAACATTTACTAACAATTGCATAGTACACAAACTGTCCATAGAAATGAATCATATTCAGGTCGTAATAAAGGGTAAATAAAAGGCATGTTTACACAGTCATACAAGAAAAAAATGACAAAATAGCATTAGAATTCGCGTTAAGGGTTATGTAAACTACAATATTATCAAGATAAGAATTATTCACTTGAAATGTTGAGTAAATACACACTTTTGACCCTCTGCCTGCAAGAAAATTAAACTCTGTATTTAATATCGTTTATAATTGAGGAAGCCGCAGCACCTGTAGTAGGAAAAACTCGTCTTTGGTTTTTCTATACCTGCTTTTCATTGGGAACAAGAAGAGGCATAGAAGCTCTCATTACAACGCCTGTTTACATGAGATATTCTTGTTTCCCATAGAAATGATCTTGAAAAGCCACATGAGAATTTTTCCACTTTATTATAATCCAGGCTATCACCATATTTAAGAAGATTTTTACTAAATTTTTCAAAATGACTTTGTGTTGCGTCACATGCAATAAGAATTAAAGCATTTTTTAGACACGTGTAGCTTCAAAAAAGAAAAGAGTTTTGTTTTCGAATTTTTTTGCAATGTGTTGTGTTAACTAGCTCTAACATGTATCTAGCAATTTAAGTAGAATGAAGAGTAATAATTTTGCAGCTTACCTTTTGATTCTTGAATAGAATGGCTAACAAGAGCAAAACCATGATAACTTATGTTTGGAGGAACTTCAAATTTACGAATCAGTCGTAGATCAGTGATGTTACGTATACTTATTACGTCTTTTCTCTCCATCATGTAGATAAAACTTCCAAAATACTTTTGTGAGATTCTAGATGTCGTAAGGATCATGTTTTTTGCGTGGTAATCGCAAGAAAACACTTCTCCATTGGTAACTCTCCAATACAACTTCCTCTTGGTTGTGTCAAGTGATAAATCATGTGGTAGTAAATCAAGACGAATTGATGAAATCAAATGCTTATTTGAAGCTGTGCTACATATCCAAATGGAACGTTCTTTACTCTCTGCCAAGAAGAGAAACCTTAAAAAATAGATTAAAAAAACGTTTTATTTATTTGCCAATTAGTACACGTATATATATAAATTACAGACTTTATTGGAAGCCTAAGTCACTGCTCTATTGTAAGGGAAGTATCAAAATATTTTTTCAATCTCAGATTGAATTAAAGTAATATTTTTAATCAACTTAGCCTTAATTTTTTCGAACATACAAATAAACTTATTTCCTACTTTCTTTTAATGCTTAAAAGTAGAATACGAAAAATGTGTTTTGAGAGACTTTGTCGCGTTGACAACTTTAAAAATTGCTTAAAAGAGAGCTAACACCATAGTGAATGGTCAAAATAATACTGTAATATTTCTTAAAAGAAATGTTCGAAACCAGAACGCTAACCAACATTTATAAAGAGAATTTTAAAATAATTGTTTTTAAAGCTGAATGGCCCTATGCATTTCAGCAAACTACTTAGCTGTCAGGTCTCAAAGTCTCCTGAATGAGAGCTTTAAGCTCATGCAATATTTATAATGTTAAGAAAAAGTGAACGTCATCTCTAAATTGAGACATGACCCTCAAAACAGAGATGAATTAAACACGTAATCATTTTGTCGAAAAAGAACGGGATTACTCCATGACGCTTCACTGAAATAACGAGGGAAATTTTTTAGTAATGCTAAAATTATGGTCAGAATATGAATTGGCACCGTGAGTGTTACTGAAAAAATGCTCAGTCCCATTTGAGCTCATAGAATAACGTAGTCTAATAATTTTAAAGGTGAGTTTGATGCTCGCTGTGAAAATTTGATTTCATGTGACTCAGGGATTGGAAACATCTTTTAAGTAACACCCAGTGAGCCAGTTAATATTCTAAAGTATTAAAAATGTCGCTCATTATTTCAGTTACACATTATGTATATATTGAGTTTACTAATCCAATCCTTTGCCAGGATTAGTAAACTTGATTATTATATGGTAAGTGTCACTTCCGGCAAAATGTTGCGCTTTGATTGGCTCAGAAACGTTTTTGCCTGTCCATTATTTCCCCGTTATTCACCACGGCGCAAAACGTGTATTTTTACGGCCAAATGTAAACAAACTTCCTAAAAGCAAACAATAAAACGCAAAAAACAACAACAAAAAACGATTTGCAAATGTGTGTCGAAAATTCGGAAAACTATACAGACATTACAATTTGAAACAATTTTTTTTACTTAGTCAAAACTGGAAAAGTGAATGTCAACCCGTACAAAACAACAAATACGAGAAATGCAATATTATAAACCTGTTAATAACCTCGATTTCTAGGTCTTCACTGGGAAATATCAGACCGAGGTCTGTTTGTAAAAGGGTTATCAATAATGGTATTTGCTCTTTCAGTGATTTACTTAAATTTTTGATGAAAAAAAAATTAGAATGCACAAATTGCAAAAATTTTAAGAAAAAGGAGTATTGGAACTCCACTTCAAAATCAACATTGGCTCATATAAAAGATCTAACCATTTGCTGTTATTCGGTACAATATTTCTGCACAATTTAAAAAATAAAGGAAGAATAGCTTAGTGGTAGATCTAAAGTACGTCAAAATAAATTAGTGCAGTACATTTTGGCGTATATTTACATTTCTAAGCACCTTTGACGAAAATCTACTGATAAAAATATATTCTTTAGAAATAAAATGCAATAGTGTTTTTTCAATTTAATTAAAATTTGAAATTGACAAGCTATATGTTATTTTCACATACACTAGATCCGCCACTGGAATAGCTGACAAAAGTTTGAATTTTGGTGTAATTTGACGCTATATTGATGCAGAGGCAGCTCATTTAGCGGCTTCAATTTGTGACGTCATTCCGTCATTCCAATGGCAAATTCGAATGTTTTTATTAGTACATTATAAGAATTCAAAGTAAAGATAAGCAAATTATTTACAACAAAATTCCCTTTATGTGTAAATTTGCTGTTACATATCGCCTAAATCGACGGATTTCTCAAAATGCTTTGTATGAGCTACTACTATGTATTAGCAATGTGTACGACAGTCATAAACCTAAATTACTACGACACATAGCTTATACAATAATTTTGGGGAGCGAATCGTCATTTCCCAGACAAATAGCAGGCACATCATTCGTATCTCAATTCATTTTTTGGCTCTCTTTTGTTGCTTTCAAGACCAAACGATTCAAAACTGTATAGCTACTCAACTTCTTATAGCTTAAATTAATGGCCAAGAATTTCACCTTCTGGCCGGCTATCAACGATAAACCTATCAAGACGCTCACCCGAAGAGCTTCGTGAACTTTATTCTTTAAAATTGTACATATTTTGCTCATCTTCGCTTTTGATTTTTATAATGTATTAATAAAAACAATCGAACTTGCCTTTCGAATAACACATGACGTCACAAGTTATAACCGCTAAAAGAACTGCGTCTGCATCAATAAAACGTCACATCAAATAAAATGCGAACATTTGTGATCTACTTCTATTTTATTTTTAACTATTAAGCAGAAATCTTTTACTAAATAACCACAGATAGAAATATCTTTTATATGAGCCAAATTTGATTTTTGAGTGGAGATCCCCCTTCACTTTTGAATATTATAACTTTAAAACTAACAGATTCGTGTAAAGCAACCGTTCTTTTTTGAATATTTGGATGTTTTTTATTTGAATTTCAATATATTAGTTTTACACTGGAAATAGCATAATAAAAAATTGTAAATTATGCTCTGACTGCCATTGCGTATGTTTGCAGAAGGCCATCGACACTCAAAAATTTCAATTGCGTAGCTAGCATTTTTTATGTTTCAGAAAAAAAGACGAATAGGAACGTGAATGACTTAGGAATGTATATCGAGCTAAAAAACACATAAATAGCTACAGCTTATTCCCACGTGTTCAGATCCTGCATTCGGCTCATGTGTCGTGCATGTAGATGCAGGCCATCCAAACACAAAAAACAAATTAATTGAATTAATTGTTTAATATTAATTTATATTCCAGTTTTGAAAATGCTTCAAGTGCTAATGAAGTGAAATTTTTATATATCGTTTTTTTTGACACAAGCGCTTTCTCTGCATTTTAGCTACTGATCATTTTCGTCAACGGGAACGCATTGAAATTTGTGTTCAAACATGGCATTCTCACTTCAGTAGCACTTTAATAATGATGTTTTGATGACGCTCAAACAACGTAATTTTTTATCACTGAAGTCTTTGTTTTTGGAACTAAAGTAAAGAAAAAATGCTTACCCTTTTAACGGATCTGTTGTTATTTCGTAAAATTTTATACCAGGTGTAAGCTTCATAATGCTTGTCTTCTTATCGTGGAAAGTAATTTGGTGAATTAGATTGTTTGACTGTACGTAGAAAATACGACGACCAATCCAGTCAACAGCTATATCATGAGCACTGGCATTTTTGGCAAAAATCTCAAGATCAGTAAAATCAAAGCTCATTCGTTTAATGTCTTTCTGATGAATGAAGTAAATTTTATTCTCAGTCACGTCAATCTCGATGTTATCATGGTTAGAGTTTGTTGCAGAAGCCTCTTTTCTGGAGTCATCAATGACCCTAACAAGACTATCTCCCGTTAGAATATCAACAGCGTAGATTTTGTTAAGAGTTGAAAGAATCATGAACTGCTCGGGATAAGCACCTGGATAAAAATAACCATAAGAAGCAAGACTTATTTTCTTAAAATAGCACAAGGATAATCGTGAATTAATTAAACTTCCCACTAAAAACATAGCTTATGTTAATATAGGAGAACATATTAGGAAATAAGTATAATTTAGAAAAGGTCACATATGTATTATCTTAAACATTTTACAAAGCAAAATACTTTCTTAGCAACTTTGTATACACTTGCTTTAAAAGTAACGCCATACTCATTAATTGTTAACTTTAGAAAGCATTTTTGATGAATGCAACGTCATGTGTACGTTACTTAGCAGAACTACATGAACAATTACGGTAAATACCGTTAGTTCCATATTAAAATCGTGTCCATGTTTAAGAAAATTTTATTGTTTAACGATACCTACTGAAGGCCTTCCGTGAATTACGTCACGAAGTCACCTGTTTTAGTTAGGCGAGAACTATATTCACGCAAAAAATCAGATAAAGAACAATATATTAAACGTCGTATATATTGATTTCTAATAAACTAACTGGATATACATAAGGGCCTGGAACCGTTTTTAAAAAACATTGATGCTACAAGGAAATTATTTATTTAAAAAATTCCATTAAAAAATTATTTTCTCGTTTACTCCCTCCTTATTCTAATACAATAATTGTTGTTGGCAAATACAGTAAGTGTAAAAAAAGTCATTTCGTGTTCGATTGAAAGATATTCTAGATAATTTATAAATTTCACAATCATTATTAAGAAGGAAATGAAAATCTACGGTAGAGAAACTTCTGTAACATTAAATTAAAATTTAATCTAAAAATACTAGGACACGGAATTTCTTTTAAATTAGTTTAATAGTGCAGCACGTTATGTCTTCAAGTTTGTTCACACCATTGGTCCACACTCGCATTGTCGTACATTATATATAACAGCTTGACAGAACTATTTCTATCGATCACTTTGGAAAAAATATATCTAATTTTGTACGAAATTTTTTCCCAGTGCCACGTACGTCTAGTTAACTGCTAGTTAAATCTTGCATTGACACTTTGATTGATGAACAACGTTATCTTGCTTATCGATGTTAAGAAATGTTTCCTTTCCTGTAAAACTTCGGCAAATGCATACCACAATAGTTTGCCGCATGTTTTATTGATGAAATTTTAAAAGTAGTTTATATTTAGAATACAAGACTTGATATATTGGTAATCATATCAAATGGTGGATGGAAAAGTGAAAATCCGTGTGGGCAGAAAAATTTAAATTTTGCGAGCGTGCCTCCTTCCACTGACACTTTCATTCAAAACTTGCCATCCATATATGCATGGTATTACGGCATCCATGTTTTTCATCCCCCACTAGACGTGCGTTAGTAACATATTATTTAGTAATTTTGATGAGATTGTACGTCCAAGTAATTATTATACATGACAATGGTCGTATACTGAATTTCATATTGAGTAAGATGATCTTGTGTTAAGTGTTGCGTTGAAACATATAAACAGCATTTATTTTATTCCATACCTCATTTCTAGTTCAAAATGATCACCATTGTAGCAATATTTATAATACCCTGTGCAATTATTAAGAATTAAAAGATCTCTGCCAAGCTTTTTATCTGTGCATTCAAATTACTTACGTAGCTATTTTTTATTTTATTAAGCATTCTCAAGTTTTTTAAGTTGTTTTATGCATCATTTTTAGTTTTGTGTTTTGTGATGTTCTTTGTGATGTTCAAGTAGTAGCTAAAAGTCAGTATATTATCAGAATTTTTCAACTTTTTTATAGACACCTTGTCTAATCGTGTCTTCTCATTTTATAATTCTGCCAAAAGATTAGGTATGTCATTTAATTCTCATACCTCTTACTCCATTTGCACGAACATAAAGAAAAATCTGATTATACTTTGAGTTTTGCAATAGGTAGAAACAAGAAAACATTTCAAACAATACTTTAAAATGTGCTTTTGTAGCTTTATTACTGTCATGTGCTATGTCAAGCGACACATTACCTTTGTAAAAACACATTTCTATTTGCACTTGCATCATCTCTTTGTTGTATCTCTTTTTTTCATTGCAGACAGCTGTGCTAATGTCATTGCCATTTTTGTCAACGCAGTTATCTTTCCAATTTTTCACTTCATTTTTTAGTGCTTTCAATCTTTCCTTGCATACGGAAATGTGGTCATTACCAACCACCATTTGTCCGTCAAATAAGAAGAAGACAAGGACACTGAAGACCATTGACATTGATTTTCTTTCCTGTTGGATGACAATGGTTATTCATAAAATTCTATCGGATTAACAGTTTTTGATATTTTTTACAGGTCTTTTCACTCACACAAGCTCAAAGAAGACCAAGTTAGAATTTTGTTTTTTTGTTTTGTGGTCGATAAATTTTTCGTTACATTTTCGGCAATATAAATACTAAATTACAATCCAACTAGTGAAGGGAGTTTTTCAAAAAAGAAGAATTGCATATTTTTTGAAATGTGGCGTATTTTCTACACTATTTTCATAATGCTTTTTTAATATTTACTCTATTTTTAATATTAGCAATATAAACAAATGGAAAACTCAATTTTCACTATTGAAAATGCAATCAAATACCTGTTCCGTAATAAAAAAAAATTGAATTTAAGTTAAAAGAGACATGTTAGATACGTTTTTTCTGTCCATAGAAAACTACCCTTTATATATACTCGACTAAAGTGTTGTGTTTTGCCTTCGTAATCATAACCAGATAACTCATACAAATGCAAGTTTTGCAAGCCATTGGAAAAGTCATTTCGACTAAAAATTCAAGAAATAGACATTATACGTATTGTTTATCTCACACTCTGGTCACAGTACTGTGGAGCCCAAACTGTAGCTATTTTTTTAAGTATTATAATTACAAACAACAATGAATTTGAACACATATGATATGAGTCAAGATAGGATGAAAGAGGAAATTAAAATAATGTGTAAGTGATGCAGATGGCATAACACAACCTAAATATTAGAACGAAAGATATGTGCAATATTTATAGCGATTATAGCATCTACAATGACTTCCTATTTTTATCTCATTTTTGCTTTATATATACTTAAATCAAAGCAATAACGTATGAACGCATCTATAACTAAAAGATTGTTCATTTTTTATTGTTTTTATACGGATCGTTTTTCCGTTTCAAATTGTTATCAAATATTTAAAGATTTAAATATTTATAGAGGAGCAATATTCCCGCTAGTCATTGCTTGACAGAAGAACATTAAAAAAAACTTGATGAAAACAGTTTAACGATTTTTATTCTCTTAAACGAATTGACAATAATATGTAAGAAATTCTGTCCCATCAACATAATCTTAGCTCAGCGATGCACAAATGGCGTTGTAATGATCAGAAACGAATATCGACGCTCTCACTATTTATTAATATTAGGTCTTTAATTGTTATGCAATATGTATATACACTCTCGTTGCTTTAAGAAAATGTTAAAACTAAACAGCTCTAGATATTAATCAGTTGTAACCATATCATGTGCCTATAAAATAAAAATTAAGTGTATGATACATCTTGTTTTGGCAAATAATGAGCAAGAAACTTAATGGTACACAGCTCTGGTGCCCAAATTATAATATACGAATGATGTATTTTTCTTTTAAAAATAAAATCATACTTTAAAATCTTTTCTGTGTGTGAGCATTGATATATGTATAACATGGGTTGAGCATTAATATAATGAGAGCAAAACTTGAAGCTGGAAATAGACAGCAATAACTAGATGCGCTGCCATATTGAACAGTCCCAATGATAACAATAATCCGTAGTGAAGAACCACGATAACAATGAATTTAATAAACCCTAAAAAAGCTTTTACCGTGAAGATAGAAACATTCTCTAGCTACAGTATGTGTCAATTAAATCGTGTCACGCAATTTGTTAAAAACTGCTTAATTCTTACACTTAATTTAGTGATGCGTGATCGATGTAATATATAATATCAATGAGTGCAATGAATGCTCGGAATGCAATAACACAGTTCTATGATATTGTCTAGTCAATATTCTTGACTACAATTCAGCCATGTTGGTGGTCTGATACAAAAGAATATTTATCAGAGTTATTCTGGGCCCCAGCCGGCGTGGGCGAGCAACATTGTTTGTCAAATTACAAGAAAATGGTTGGAAGTCAAGAATTGTGTGCATTCTGTTTATTCAGGAGTATAAAGACGGAACATATCAGCTGATTCAACGACGTAACATATACTTCACAAAATGTTTGAAAGTTAAATTGTTAAAGAATTGTTAAAGTTAAATTTGGCAAAAAATTATGAACTGACTGAATTTTTCTATAAAACTGTGAGGAAAAAGCACATTTTGCGGGAAAGAAGAGAGTCAATTAGCTTAGTAGAGAAGCTTAAGTCAGTGGCATTATTTTAAAACTTATCTTTTGCAATTTTCTCAAAATCGCAATTCATTTAGCTACGTTTTGTTTGCTATGCTTTATAAAGATTTTTATACTGAATATCTCGTATTTATAAATGCATATTATTTTAACCACATGTAAGCTTACCCACATGTACGCACTGCACAGCCGTTTTTCTCATTGCAAATATTATGAGCATGAATTAAAATTGCATAAATAACTTAAGTTATTTTTGACGACAGTTTGTATCGGAACCATACTTATTCTAAAAGTGCATGTGAAGAGTATAAACAGACGTAAACGCAAATGAAACCTAAAAATGAATAACTTAAAAATGAATAACCTAGAAATGAATAACCTAGAAATGAATAACCTAGAAATGAATAACCTAGAAATGAATAACCTAGAAATGAATAACTTAGGAATGAATAACCTAGGAATGAATAACCTAGAAATGAATAACCTAGAAATGAATAACCTAGAAATTAATAACCTAGAAATGAATAACCTAGAAATGAATAACCTAGAAATGAATAACTTAGGAATGAATAACCTAGGAATGAATAACCTAGAAATGAATAACCTAGAAATGAATAACCTAGAAATGAATAACCTAGAAATGAATAACCTAGAAATGAATAATCTAGAAATGAATAACCTAGAAATGAATAACCTAGAAATGAATAACCTAGAAATGAA